ACTTTTTCGTGGTTTTTTTTTTTTTTTTTTTTGCTTTTTACGAGTGAAAATCTGAAAAGTGTGGCGTGTATTTTTATTCAGTCCTCCACATGGTCAGTGCTCTGTAGAGGCACCTTGAAATCGCAATTAAATCTCCAGACGATTTGATTTACTTTAAATGTTTCTTTCTTTCTTTTTGACCTGTGTGCCGTGTTTGCTGTTTTTATTAAGATTTAATCACAAACAAATTGACTCTATTTATCAATAAAAATTGTTGAAAATACGTTGAAGGCTTAATGTCAACCTGAATAAAAGTCTAATCCTGAAAGCAGTAATGCATGTTCCAGAACTGAAAACCAAAAAACTCATCCTGGTCATCCGTAACCCAAAAGAAGTCGCTTCTGTTTTTCATGCAAACAGATTTGGACGGCAATGACCTTCTGTCCTACTGGCCCGCTTTGGACGAATGCGACACCTTGCAGAAGTGGGGCTCAGAGCGCCCCCTGGGGGGGGATTACAACAAGGACGCTGCCAACAACAACCAGCTTGACGCAGCGCTCACCAGCGGGGACGAAAACGGCCTCACCCAGCCGCACAGGCACCGCAAGGGTGAGAGAGACGTGAAGCTCCTTCTTCCTCTGTCTCCTGTCGTATAGTTTAATCAGATCCAGAAGACAGAATTAGAAATTTTCTTGTTGCATCCGATTTGCATCATTGCGAGATTATCATGTTGCAATCTGCAATCAGGCTTGATTTTCGTCCATATATTAATGTCTTCGATGTATTCTCCCAAAAATGTCTCCAGACGGAAAACTTCAACTCCTATTGAAGACGTCTGAAAGTCAGAAGTTTAGCTTAGGAAGTCTGAGTCTTTGCAGAAGAAACGACTGATTTTCATGTCTGCCTCAGGCTGTTCATTTTTCGCAACCGAAACCGATGTGGTTTTATGATTCATAGCCTTTTAACAGCGGCTGAAGGCAGACTTAAAATATCCAAAGTGTCACTGCTGTCTTCTTCTTTTTCTTCTCATTTCTCTTTCAAATCTTCACTTACATTTTTCTCAGCTGGTATTGTTCATTCCCATTTTCCTATTTTTCTTTCACAGGTATCCTGAAGAATCGCCTCGGTTGCCAACCAGCACTGCAGGGTCTCTCCACCATGGGCCGGGTCCCCAGTGAGCTCAACTGGTACCGTACCTCCACGCTCGGCCACCGAGGCGTTCCAGCAGCCTCCTACGGTCGAATGTACTCTGCCACCGCCGGTGCTACAGGAGGCTCTGGTTCTCTCTCTCAGCCGGCTTCCCGCTACTCCTCCAGGGAGCACCTAGACTCGCTGGCCAGGAGGCAGCTGTCCAGGGATCCCCTCGGAAGACAGACAGTCGGGGGGTCGAGAGAGCGTCTGGACTCCCGTGGCTCCCGGGATAACCTGGACCTTCTTCCCAGGAGGAGGGAACTAGGGTTGGGACTAGGGGCGGGGCTCGGGGGCTTGGATCACCAACGAGTCTCGTCGTCCAGGGAAAACCTGTCAGGATCCAGGGACAGACTGGACAACCATCACACTGCCAGCTTCCATGCGTCAAGGGAGGACTTGAGTGGGAATGGAGGAGCCGTAGGAGCTGGGATGGAGGGATACCTCAGTGGTTCCAGGTCCCAGTTGAACACATTAACTCGGCGGCAGGCCTCGTCGCGAGAGCACCTCGGAGGAGCTCTGATGAGCAGCAGGTCGAGGGAGCAGTTGGAGGCCAACGGGGTAGGGGCTCAGGCTCAGCCTTGTCGGGAGTGGCTCCGCAGTCTACCCCCCCGGCAGCCCTCGCACCCCGACCAGCCTCTGTCAGCCTCTCCTCCTCCGCCAATCTCAGAGGAGCCGCAACAAGAACAGCTACCTCCTCCAGCTCATGTCAGAGGACGCCTGGACTCTGCACCCTCATGTAGGTACCCTGGTCAGACTGTCCCCCAGCTTGCAGGTTCAAATCCAAACCCTCTGGTCCGACAGCCGTCCAGTGAGCAGCTGGACATCTTATCCTCCATCCTGGCATCCTTCAGTTCCTCTGTCCTTACTCCTCCCGCTGCCTCTAACCCCGGCCCTAATGGCTCTGTCCACGGACCCTCCCCCTCCCCACCCCAGTCCACCACTCACAGCATGTCGGAAGTCTCCCCCGATTCAGAGTAAGTTTGTCCGTGTGTCATTCCAAGCCAGAGGTGACCAACGTCAGTCCTCCAGATTCGGTATCCGGCATGTTTTCGTTGTCTCCCTGGTGGTAGTAACTACCTCCTCAGCATGTCAGTGTTTTACAGAGATTCTGCTAACGAACCGTTGCTGGGTCCAGGTGTGTTGAACTAAAGCATGAAGGGTGCTGGCCCTTGAGGACTGACCTCCTTATGTTTTCATTTTCTTCTGCATTTTGTGGTCCTGAAATAGTTTTTTTTTTTTCAGCTTACAGCCTTTAGCTCGTCTCAGTCTTGATAGTTTGTTGCTCATTAAACATGTATTCTACATCATTGTATGGATACCTGTTTGAGAATGTAGCCGCTTTGAACACATAGAACAAATAGTTAGCACCAAAACAACTTAGAACTAGAAAGCTTTCAACTCAGGTGGGAAGTCAGTCTAACCCCGACTTCAGAGACCAATAGCATGAGTAGCTGTTAGCTTGATTCTGAGTAACTATTAACATAACTTTGAGGGTGGTTTCACACCTGTTGGTATTAAGTCATTTTAAAAGACTTTGGTTCGTCTCACCCCTCGGTGTGGTTTGTGTCGATGTGATAATCACGCTAGGGTGTGGACCAAAACAAAATATACCAAGATCACTAGCCTCAGTACCATTTCAGATGAACTCTTGATCAGTTCATTTCTGGATGTGAGTCAACCTCAGCCTAACACAGCTACCAGGTGTATGAGCCAATCGCCTCTCTGTAGTCAGGTTTGCGTTGCCCTGTGGGATCATGCAGCAGAGAAAAGACCGTAATAAACAATGTTGGCATCAGAAAAAGTTACAAATGAACAAACTCACCAACTGACTTGAACCATAGTAAATGAACTACAGGTGTGAAAATTCCCTTCATAATCAGTTCAGTCTTAGTGGCTCTTAGTTTGACTCTAATTAGCTGTTAGCTTGACTCCAAATCGTTTTTAGCTTGAATCTTAGTAGCTTAATTAGCTTGACACTAAATTGTTGCTAGCTTGCTTCTTCAAACTGAAATTGTTCTCACTGCTACAGTGCATCCTCCCAGTAATGTTCATGATACAAGCACACACCACCTTTCTTAAACCTAAAAAAAAAAGTAAGTTAGCATTTGTTCATTTTATTTTAGTCAATTGAAATATGAACTTTCTGATGTTCCTTTTCTTTCCCCTTCACCTCAGAGCCCACAGAAGCGAGGGACAGTCTTGATGACAGCCTCCACAGCCATTAATGCATTGCAACAGTGCTGGAACAAAGCTCAAAGGTCAAGGATGAACTAAATGGCCAGCCTGGGAAGTAGAAACAGAATTGACTCAGAGGAGACAGAAAAGATGAAGAGGCAAAAATAACATTTACAGACAAAAAAGAGAGAGATGGTCTGTGACAAAAGAAGAAGGTTGTGAGCGGATCGTTTTGTGTATATCGAGTTTTTAAGTCCCACCGCTCGCGATCTATCGTTCCGTGGACATTGAATAAACCACCTAATTCTACTACCTAAAAACAGTTAGACAAAAAAGAAAATTACAGACAAAACATCTTCTCAGATGTTACACACACACACACACACACACACACACACACGACCATATCCGATAAGACCTGTCAAAACAGAAGAAAAGTGACTGTAAATAGCCTTTTTATACATTTTTTATCTTTTTCATTGAAAGTGAAAAAATATCTTGTGAAGTTTTTTTTTTTTTTTTTTTTTTTTACGCAGTCGTGTCCGTGCGTGAGGTTGTGAAAGAGGGTGAAGCGAGTGCTGTCTTGTGTGTTGCCGATGGAAGAAATTCCCTCTACAAAGTAAAAAAAAAAAAAGAAAAAAAAAAAAACTAAAATTTCTCCCCAGAAATACATTTCCCTCAGAATGTTGTCCCTCAAACCTTTGAACTTCATGTAAAGCAGCAGGGGTCCGGCAATAGAGTGACGAGATTATGGGAAGACTCGGTTGAAGGGGTAATTTCAAAGTATCGAAGCGTGATTGTAAACAGAGGAAGGAATTATTATAGGAGAGGAGAGCTGATGGAGCAAGATGATTGTGCAAAGAAAGATGGCTAACAACACATTAGATTCAAAGATGGTTGCCTAACTACTAAAGCTCAGTGACATGATGTGTCTGCTGCAAGAGGGAGATTATGCTCTTTTTTTTTTTTTTTTTTTTTTTATTGAGCCAGTGCATATAATCACAACCCGGTGCTCTCTGAATCTGAAGCAGACCGTATCAATCCGCTGACGTAACGGGAACATATCAGTGCAGTTTTAAAAACCTGGTGGGTGAAAGTTGATCTCGCCGTCTGCCTCTCTCCACGAGGCAGGATCAAGTAACAACCACTTTTAAGAACCCCTGGAGGCATCTTTTTTACACTTTGATGCATCATGACTCAACCTGCCTCCGGGGCCAGCACAGGAGCAGCCGAGTCTCTCCAGCAGCAACCAGGAAACTCATTTCCAAAAGCTCCTCATGCAGAAGCCTCTCGTCCAAACTCAAAGCCAAAGGGACATAAATCACTATGAAACTTTGTGTTGCTCTTCGTTTAGAAAATGCTTCCTACATGGTGTGATGGCTGTAGAAGTAAAACCGCTTTTGTTTGTTTTTTTTACACAAATATGAACCAAAATGAAAAAATTTTCTTTGTTACTGAGGCCTTAGTTCTTCACTAGAATATAAACAGCTATTTGGCGTTTTATCTCACTGCCCAAACTGATTCTGATTCTGAATGACGGAAGAGAGAGAGAAAAAAAACAAAATAACGAGAACAATGCTGTTGAATCCCGACGTGCTCAAATATTTATTGAAGACATGAAAGCAAACGTGATGCTTGCATGCAGCGCGGTGTCTACCTGAATATGTCAGCTCACGTCTTTAGCATCTTTTCACTCCCAGACGCTCCCTGAAGGAAATATTCCAGACAGGAAGCACTTATTTTCAAATCTAATCAGGCTCCAAACTGTTCACCACGAGCTCAGATAAAGTGTTTCCTACTCTTTCAGACAGATTGTTTTTTTTCCTGCCATTTGGAGGATTAATGGAGAAGGAGGCATTATTTGAGATCAGCCGAAGCTTCTGCTGCAGTGCATTGGCTAACAAAAGGAGAGACGAGGTGTCAGCAGTGTCGACGCTAAAAGCTATAATTTGTATTTTATTTTATTTTATTATTTTTTTTGCAGATGTAGGTATTTGAATCAGCTGCTGATTCTTTTACACTCATGTTTGCAAAATGCAACGAGTTCATGCTTTAAAGGTTCAGGATTCTTAAGTGAGGTCGTTTTGGAAAAGTTACGACGTGTTGCATCAACCTCGGTTTCTTCTTTTAGTATGAATTCACATGAGTTGGTCCTAACGGCTCAAGTTAACAATTAACTCTTAAATATTGAATCACTCAACTGCTGCCATGTTTCAATTAGGTGGATATTTACGAAGAAACCAAATGAATAGGAGGCTGTGCGCCACCATTAATCTTCCTGTGTGAAACATGAAAATTCTTTCAGACTACCGTCAGAAATAAAAGTTAAACCAGTGCAAAAATCAAAATACAATTTGAAATAAAATGTTTGCTGTGTGCACCACTTTACTTTTGTGTTGGGCAGCTAATCTGATCTGAAACACTTTAGCTGTAGGACTCGTGCTTCTTATAGGAGGATCACTAGTAAAACACTGCCTCCAGTCTTTGTGACAACAAAAAAGCAGGAATTTAAATATGTGGAACTATAGGTTTGTGATGTATTGTTTGCATGCGCTGCTTTGACATGTTTTAGATCTGAGATGTTTAAGACGGTAAATTTGGATCTTGATTCTTCTCAGAGTATAAGTTAGCTTCGGCCTGCAGAACCAGCTCATCTAGGCATCAGGTAAAATGGTTACTGCCAATATTCTCTCAATCTTGAACCCTTTAAGAGAAAAACACATCTTCAGTGGTATGAATGAAAAAGAGGCGTTTTGTTAAAACAACAAAAAAAAAACAATTTGGCTGAAGTTTGTCTGAATGAGCAAGATCAAGAATGGACACAAACTACAAGTGGGCTAAAATCCAGCAGAATGGACACAAAAGACATCGGATGTTACAAAGCTAGACATCATCAGTAGGAGGATAAACTGGGTCAGAAATCATGACTGTTGTAAAACGCGTAGCTGCAGGGAGGAAGGCGTGGACGCCGCCCGTCACGGAGACGGAAATAGTCGGAAAAGAGGAGGGAAATGCAGACAGTGGAGATAAAGATGCACATCACAAGCAAACGCGCATCTTCCCGCTCTGACTGTACCTCTGTCAGCCCCGTCTCCTCAGAACGTGACACCAAATCTGTTTCTGACAGGATTATTCCCAAAAAATGTTCCTGCTGGGCGAATGCCACCTGTCAGTTAGTTAAAGAAGCAGTCCGCCTAAAAAAATATATATTTCTTTTCTTTTCTTTCCACAGTTTTCCTGAGATCAGACTGACTGGAGATCTATTTTATTTAGTGATAATTTATTGACATTTTATGAAAGAGTTGTTTTACGATTTCTTTTAAATCGTATTTTTATTTTTAATCACGAATGTGTTTTCTTTTTAAACCCAAATGATGTTTTGTCTTACACGTGTGACTTTTATTTATTGTTTATTATGATAATTATGTTTCTCAAGGCCACAAGTTCCCAGTTTGATGAACAGTGGGGAAATGTGTTAAAATAAATGTTTACATGTAAACAGCAAAAGTAAAATCTTATGCCAGGCACAAAGTACAGGACCTGCAAGAACCTGCCAAGACCACCAGACTGCAGTCAGTTAAAGTTATATTTATCTTCCTTAAATGGCTCACTTGGGTTTGATGGATGTGTGATTTACTGTTGCAGCGACGCTTCATTGCAAACCTGCACAACACTGGTCATTTGTCTGCTTTGGCACTCTGAGGGGAGAGAACAAAAACTACAACTCCCAGATAATTTGTTTTAAACCAGTAGAAGTCATACAACCAGAGCAAGAGAGGGCAGATTTGAGTCAAAAATGTTGTCATCTGTTCTGGAGATTGAAAAGGAAAACAAAGGGGGGGGGGGGGGGGGGCAGGGAAAAGATGGCAGAATGATGAGAGATTGTATTTGTTGGCTTGTGTGTTCATTATGAGATGCCTTCTGTCCCGCCGTCGGGACGGAAACAGCTGTTCCCCTGTTTTCGCAGAAAAACAAGAGAAATGTTGGACATTAAAAAAAAAAAAAAAAAAACCTTATTCCTACCAGACTGTGTGTGTGTGTTTATATTCTGCCTGTAACTGTTTCATATTCATGAGGACATTTTAGGGAGTGAGGCAGCGAGGAGAGGACACATTCTGACAGAGCGTTATTTTTTTTTCTTCTTTTTTTTTTTTGTGACGGTGTTTCTTGCTGACTTGTTTTGGTTCTCAAAGTGCTCCGTCACAGCCAGCGGCTCAGATGACAGCTTAACACAGTCAGCTCTGTTACAATATCACTGTTTCTCAGATAAAAAGTAAGGTTTACGTGTGAAGCAAACTTTTAATGCAGCTTTTTGCAAAATTATTCACGACACTTGAACTTTTTTACATTCGGTTCCAGTTTTTGTAGCAGACACGCTAAAAGTACTGCATAATTGTAGAGTGCAAATGAATTGAGCCGCTCGTCTTGTCTGCAAATAACTCCTTTCATTATCAGGTTCTTGATCAAAAGCCAGAAAAACAACTGAACAGCAAATACTAGAGCATGTTCTCTAATCCTGTTTTCACTAATTAGTAACTAACGTCAGTTTAGTAATATCAGAATGATGCAACAGACACACAAAAAATGGTCAAGTCTCTGAAGGAAATTTTACTATTCATTCCTTTGTTTATGAAAATTACATTTTATGAACAAACATGTTGATTTTTTAACAGCAAAATCTAATAACATGCTCAATAAGAGTGTTAAAAACTGTGCATTTAGAGAGGGCCTATGAATTGAGAATAAACCGAATACATCAGCTGAAGCAACTATAAAGAACACATTACCTTAAAAGAACATAATGCAACAACAAAAAAAACAATGCCATGTAAAAAAAAAAGAAAAAAAAAACTGCAGACAGCATTACTGTTGTTGTTAATGTGCATTTCACAAAGTAATCAAATATATATATTTTTCATTATTGTGCCAGTTTGTGTTTAAACATTAGTACCACATTCACTTTAGAACGGCTTCATTCCAAATAAGAGTTGTGTTTTATTTTATTTTTTTAGGAAAGCAGCCACACAACCAGCTGCCGTCACACACAAACCTGCACATGTTAGATGGCCAGTACTTGTGTAAAGTTTCATCAAGTCCAGAGAACCTCAAAACACTCCACACTACAATCATTCACCCATTCACATGCTTCAGCACCACCGGGCTCTCTGACCGCCACCGGGCAGGTGACGCGTTTTGCCCAAGAACACGACGTCCGAGAGAGGATTCGAACTGACAACCGTCACTGCCATGTGTCACAGTACATATGTCATCATGGTTGCAACAAGTTATTCATGGAAAACGTCCAGACTCAGCCTTTACTTTCGCTTTAAAATATAAAATACTAACATTCGCTAAGACTGTATGGCAGATTTTTCTACAAAAAAAAATAAAAACAACCAAATGAAGGATGCAGGGAAGAGAGGATGGCGGTAGGACACGAGGACAGAAGGAAGGATGAATAAAGGAAGGTAGAACATGAGGGAGGGAAGGAAAGACAAATATTTAGATTTTTCTCAGTCGTTTCCATTCTTGGAAAAAACAAACTGAATCAAATTCCAGATTTTTCCAGACCAGCCAGGAACCAAAAGGTGTTTTTTTTTGTGTGTGTTCCGTATTGTGAATATCCAATCAATGACTTCTGACGCCCACGGTCTGTTTCCACTAACCCACACCAGAACCTTCGATATAGAAATCTATAAAAAATAGTCCCAAAGATTATAGACAAACACCACGAGAATGAAACAAGCATGAAAAAGATCAGATCAGCCGTTGAGCTCGGATATCTTTTCGTCTTCTTCGCCACTGCTGGAGGAGGACGGTGGCACGTCTTCACCCAGCCTCTTTAGCTTGGCCTTGTAATAGGCCTTTTTCATCCTGAAGGCCTTCTCCTTCTGTCGAGCTGCTTTCCTTTTCTCCCGGACCAGCTCCTGTTCCCAGGCAAGTACCTTCATCCGGTTTTCCCACTCCAGGATCTTCATCTGATCCAGCTGCTCCAAAGCCTCTGTCCGCTGCTGAAGCTCCAGTCTTGAAAAGTCCACAGAGTCATGAGGGGTCAGGCGGCGGCTGACCTCCTCCTCCTTGATGTCGGACGGATGAAGGTGATGGTTGATGGTTCTCGAGGTTCCTGTGTGGATGGAGGTGACAAAGGAAGCCCAGGTTTAAAGTTGGGAACAACTGGGGAACCATTTCCCTAGTGGCTCACTGCTCAGGTGGCAACCGTTGCCAGGCAGCACTAGAAAGGTATGATGTGATTCAGATCCTCAAACTCAATGCTAGAGGGATTTCTTAAGAATTGCACTTGATTATCTCTAGTTTAAAATCTAAGTTGTTAAGATAAGAGCAGACTTAAACTGAAATAGTGACCTTTAACAAAATCTGATTCAATAGACCTGCATGTCATACAGAGCTTCAGTGCTTTCTTTCATTCTGAAATCTATCCAATAAATAAATTCAATCGTAGGTTATGTTTTATTATTATTATTATTATTTATTATTATTTCTGACATAAAATAAAAATTTCTAATCAGGTTAGTACCTGATTGGCTAGCGAGGTAAAAACAAAATGTCTCAACAGCAAGGTTAAAATATTTGATCTTTATTGTAGGTCTTTATCTGCCAGTACCTGGGACTGTGAAGTACGCAACAGGAAAGGCTGCATCCTGCAGCTCTGCATTGTGGGAGCTGGAGTTTGTAGAGGGACTCTGATGCAGGTCTGACCAGTCGCTGCCTGTGATTCTGTCCAAAGCTTCACGCTGGAGGGCAAGGGCCATTTGCTCCTTGCTCTTCTCTACCTAATAGGGAGGCAGCGGGCAATAAAATTCCCTCTCAAGAATCCAATGGTTATGATTTATGAGCAACTTAGAAATTATTATTATTGCTTAAATGAACTTAAATCATAAAAATAAATAACTTATATGTTTACCAGATTTGTGTTGCCGTTCATCTGTCTTGCATCGCCTATTAAAACACCTGCAATAATAGACAAGAAGGACAGAGACAGATGGGAAAGGAAAATGTGTCTCAGAACAGTTTGCAAAGAGCGCCTCCATCTGGTGGACGCAGGCATGACGTTATACTTAGGTTTAAACAAAAAAAACAATTGCAGTCAAAATTCACAAAACTACAAACTTCTGAAAAAAAATCGGATACTAAGAAATAATAGTTTTTACATGTTATTATTTATATAAAAAATAATAATAGTTTAACACAGAAAGACTTAGGCAAAAGGGGATTGTAGCTGGAGTAAATACTCTGCTGCTGCTCAGGTTTCTCTCTCTGTTGATGATCACGTTTATTTTACAAGCTTTATTCTGTGTCAACATCTCTGATTACTGGTTGCTGGTATCCATAGAGACACCTGCTCATCATACCCATAGCTCTCTGTCTTTTTAGATTTCAATCCAGTTATAAATCATATTTTATTAAATCATATTTAAGGGGAATTTGTAATATTGCAAAAAGCAGCTGGCTCTTTTTTTTTTCTTGTCTAAAACTGCTTTAAAATTATGAGTTTTAAAAGAGGCAAGCCGCAGCTTTCACGCTGACTTTGTTTATACGGCGAGTTATATACCACGTGATCAAAAACTCAGTCATCCACATCCCAACATGCATGTGTGCTGATAAAGGTGCTGGTGCATCGTTTCTACTGAACACTGCAGAGAGTCTGGTTGTGACTGACGGCCAAATACTCCAATTAAGAGTTAAAACAAACAAACACAACGCGTCCCATTCAACATACGTCGTTATTACCAGTCATTTTCCTGTCATAGACACAGAGGGAGGCGTACAAACCTTCCAGCAGCTTTCGGACCGCAGCTTTGTGGCCAGCTCCGCCTGCGTGGCTGGTGAGAGCAGCCTCGCCCATGGTCTGAAGTTTGATTGATTTACAGCAGGCCCTGCACCGAGCGAAATGAATGTCATCGGCGTCTTTGACCAGCCAGTCCTTGAAAGCGTCCTTTGTCAGCCAGGAATCCTGGAATTTACATTTCCCAGGCATTGTTAGCTTCAAAGTTAGCTGGACCGCTACTTAACACGGACAAGAATCCTATTTACAGTATTTTGCCATGTGATGCGTTTAGGTCCTCTGTGAAAGTGTGTTCAAAGCAGTATTCAATCTGATATTCAAAAATAATAATCATATCACGTAAAAATAGTCTATAATGATACGTACCTATTTCAACTATTCCATATGTGTCATTGTTTTTGAAAAGATACATAAAACCACATACATTAAGCACCTTGATATGGCACACAATCACTCATAATTATTCATAAAAAAATAAACTATCTGTGGAAAAAGCCAAAAATTTGGGTGATGACAAGAAAGCCAATTCAACCTCAGAGACTCACTAATTACAAGACTTATTATAAGGCTTGCTCTAATGGGAAATATATAAAATGCAATTAATATTTTCCTTTTCATTATTAAAAAATTGTAAATATTAAATACTATTAGAAATAGCAATTGCATCTGTTTAAAGTGCAGAAATGAAAATTTTAAAACGACATATCTCTGACTGTTTTGAGAGACAAACATATCATTTTCAATCTGAGACAAATTTCTTTTTTAAAAATCACAAGCGGTTTTAAATAATGTGAGCTTAACTGTATTTCTTACAGCGAACAATACTCACTTTTTCAATTAGCGCACTTTTACTGAAAACACCTCAACGCAGCACAACTTTTCACCTTTTTATCACGTGTGTTTTTTGGCCAATAAGCACAATTCATTGTTCCTGCAGCCAATCAGCCTTCAGAAATCGGATCCTGTAGTTTTATTGGTTAAGTTAGACCGGAATTAGTATAGAAACACATGTGGACAAAATTGCTGTTCACAGAACTGAACAGCAATGTAAAAATACAAGTCAGAGACATGTTTCAGCTGTATTTAAAGCTTTAAAGAGGTACGCATTGATTGGCATTCCATGCGAAAAGCGAGCATTTTATTCCTCTGTTTAATAAGTGTAAATGAAGTGCTCCTCCTGTTAGCATGTTTTGCTAACTGAAAGCTTTTTCGTGTTGTTTTCATTGCTAAGATGAGTTAAACACACTATCCATTTTCAGCGTTCACCAAACACACTTTATAGTTTAAGTACAAATTCTAATTAGTAGCATTGTGTCTTTCAGAAAGCATTCAGAATGGTTTTCTAATAGAAACTAAACAGTAACCTGCAAAGATGGAGACTGCTGCCCTGGTGGCTCCTATCACAGGTTTGGAGTTGTTTCAGGATCGGTTTCTGCTGACAGGTAAGTCACATTCTGTCACGTCAGAACCACACACTTCAATTAATGATACATGGTTTTTGGGTATGATTAAATAAAAAATATAAGACAAAAATATAAATACTGCTCATCACTCTGAACACACCATCCTCACGGTCAAGTGTGGTAGTAGCCGCATGTTGTGATGCTTTTCTTCAGCGGGGATAGGGATGTTGGTCAGAGTTGATAAGAAGATGGATAAAGCTAAATGCAGGCCAGTCCTGCAAGAAACCCAGTTTAAAAGCTGCAAAAGACTTGATACTGGATTGAAGGTTCACCTTAAAATGAGACAACACTAAACATATAGCCATATTTACAAAGGAATGGCCCAGTCAAAGTCCAGACCAAAATGAGAACAAGTGACAAGACTTGAAATTGCTCTTCACACCTCCATGCTTTCTGTCCAAACTGGCTTAGCTTGAGTTTTTCAAAGAATAATTGCCAAAATATTCTGTTTCTGTGTGTGCAAAGCTGGTAGAGACAAACCCCTAAAGACCTGCAGCTACAATTATTGCAAAAAGGTGGTTTGAGTACTGACTCATCAGGACTGAATATAAATGCATGCCACATTTTGTTTTAGAGTTTTACTTGTAATTTTGGAAACCATCATCAGTTGGCAGCGTTCTTCTTTTACTACCACATAAAGTGGATCATGTAATTACCAATGAACTAGAGAAGCTGATGAGCAAAGAGATTAGAGCAAAACTTCATATAATGATGCTGAAATCTTAATAATGTCAGTACTGATTTTGATGATTAGCATTTTAGCTACTATTTTTTTTGCAAAAGGTAAATGATTAGCAAAAACTCAAAGTAATTAAAGGTAATCAAAATAACACACACATATATAAAAATATATATTTTTCTATTTTTTTAATGGTCTCATGCACTCTTACACCTTCTTCCCATTGTCCTTTGTGGCAGGTGAAGGACCAGTCTTGTCCGTGTACAGTCTCCTGCCCCGCCCGAATGTCGGTGCCTCGCTGACTGTCCTGCAACATTATAGGATCCATGGGATCAGAGTGAGGAGCCGGGACACGGTGCCAACGCAGGACTCCACCGTCTCAGGTGCTATGCATTAATTTTCAAACAGCGGAAAAATGTTTTGCCAGATTTTCTCTGAATCTGAATGTTGCACTTAAATGTTATAAGTGTAAAAGTGGCACTTGCAACATTTACAAAATATTTTGGCTTAAAATGTTGTTTTGAGCCTAAAACAAATCAGTTTTCTTTGCCCTTGTTGGAAAAAAAATGGTGAAAGTGGTGCTTTATTAGAGATGCAGTAATTTTGCCAGCTCTGACACATACTGATGGTTTTTTGTTTGATTTTTTTTTTCCTCTAAGGAATAAAAAACTAAGATATATGTATGTCAGATTACCTCTCTTTAGCCATTGAAGCATCTGTCCGGTCTGATTTTTATTGCATTTAAAAAAGTTTTTTAAGGAAACTCTGACTGATGTTGGTCCATCTCTAATCTTTATGAGCGGTAGGGGTTATTTGTAATATGTTTGTTCATTGCTTGTAAAAACGAGTGAACTCCGTTTAAGCTCACAAGTGTCTTGATCTGTTTGTCTATTTCTGATCTCTAGAGAAGAACTCTGCCTCTACAAGTAGCTTCTACGACCTCGCCATATTTGGAGGAAAGGCAGTGAGGCTCGTCAGGCTTCATTTAGAGTGCCAGGATGTGGAGACTCTTCGCTTGGAGACCCTGGGGCCCCTGTTGGAGCTCCGGGACTGGGCCCTAGATGTCCGCTGGCTCTCCTCAGACAAGCAGTCCCTGCTCTGTGTTGCCGTTGCTCATAACGGTGCTCTTCTCCTGGACTCTACCACAGGAAGCGCCCTGGTTCAGTGCTCCTGCCTGGAGGGCTGCCTGCTGTACTCCGCCCTTCTTCTGGTGCATGACTCGTGGGCTGACACCGTCTTGGTTGGTGGGACCGTTTTCAACCAGATCATCATCTGGAAACCCGGTCGAGGTGATGAAGTGATCAACGCTGGTCACAAGGCTCCAATTGAGTGCAGACTGTTGGGTCACAGCGGGGTCATCTTCAGCGTCTCTTACCTCCAGGAGAACGGGTACCTCGCATCGGCATCAGATGACCGCAGCATTCGGGTTTGGGGTGTCGGTGCCTTGGGCGGCCCTGGAGGGAAATGCGGAGACCCTAACCCGACGTGTTTAAGGGTCCTGTACGGCCACCAGGCCAGAGTCTTCTCGGTTCGTCTCTCAGGCAGGTACGCGTTCAGCGGAGGAGAGGACGGCGCCTGTTTAGTCTGGGACTTGATAGAAGGGGGGAAGGTGATTCAAACGCTGAAGGGACACCGCGCCGGTGGGGTGCGTTCCCTAGCGGTCGGTGGGGGAACAGGAGATGGTGAGAGATGGGTGGCAACAGGAGGAGCAGACGGGGGGGTTAGGCTGTGGAAAGTAGGAGATGTTGAGGAGAAAGAGAGCCTGGAAGAGAAGCTAACAGACCTGAAGTTTCCAGGTCCTGCTCTTCCGAAAGTGGTTTGTCTAGTGGGAGGAGAGGAGGAGAAGACTTACTGGAGTCGGTTTTTGGTTTGTACTGACAGAGGGACAGTTTGCCAGTACAGCAGTGGGAGCTGGGAGACGATATGGGAAGGCCCAGCTGAGTTTTCATCATATTGTGTGATGGAGACAGTAACTGTGTTAGAGAGAAATGCAGCCACCTTGGTCACGTTGTGTGCTGTTGGGAACATCAGTGGCTCCATCCAGGTGTTTCCCACTTCCAGTCCTCTGTCTGGTGTACGTCTTACAGGCAGACCAGGAAAGATCCATAGTGTCATTTGGAAAAAGGAAACGGATAATCTGTATTTACTCACATCAGGTGCCGAAGGATTCATCTGTCGTTGGTGTGTCGAGGTAGAAATGACTGAAAACTGCTCATTAGTCCTAAGTGTGGAACCTCTTCCACCTTTTCTCCTCCCTCTCTGCTCCAAGCGCTGGCTCACAGCCGCCGTTCGCCTCCGGCGGGACTCCAACAAGGTGCTGTGGGTGTGTGGAGACAGGAGAGGGTCGCTGCTGTTGTTTCAGGAAGGGGAAAACGTTGAGCTGAACCAAACCGATCATGAGAAACTCGGTAAAGGCTCGCAGAGGAAAGAGGAAGAAGAGCGTGACTCTGCACTGCGGCCCCTGAGCTGCCTGTTCGGTGTGCACGGGAAACACGGCGTGACCTCGGTGTGCGAGTACCAGGGGTTGCTTTACAGCACCGGGAAGGATGGCTGTGTGAGGATCTTCAGGACTCGGCGTGAAGACGGCGAGTTTCGGCTGGAGCTGCTCAGAGTCCAACGGGCCTGCCGGGGCATGGAGTGGCTGGAGAGAGTTTTCATTCTTGAGTCTGAAATCAAGAAAGGAGAGGAACCGGAAAATGCGATCGGAGAGGAGCCGAGGGAGGCCAGATTCGTCATCGCCGGCTTCCACGGCGTCCACTTTGTGGTGTGGGACCCTGTGAGACAGGAGAGGCTGATGGCAGTGGCCTGTGGCGGCGGTCATCGATCCTGGAGCCTCTGGCCGTCGCACACAGGGGTTTGGCCCGGACGGGGGGCTTTGGTCTTCATCAAGCAGGGGGCCGTCCTGACTTCGCAGCCCCCAGGGGAGATGCTCGGCTGTGCTGGGGACGCAGGGAGAACTGGAGGATGGAGCTTGAGAGACGGCATTCATGGCAGGGGGATCTGGTGTGTGTGCAGGCTGGGAAGGATAGAAGAGACTGGAATTGACTCACAAGCAGCACGTACAGGAAGCAGCAAATCATATTGGGAGGTAGTGGTGACAGGAGGGGAGGACACTAGCTTAGCGGTCCTGGCTATAAACCCAGTTT